GACATAGTATAGTAAGGCATAAAATGTCAAAAAAACATCATAGTAAAATAAGGCCTAAAATGTCAAAAAACTCCATAGTATAGTAAGTCATAAAAACGTCATAGTATAATAAGGCATAAAAAGTCATAAAAATGTCATAGTATAGTAAGGCAAAAAATGTCAAAAAAACATCATAGTAAAATAAGGCATAAAATGTCAAAAAACGACATAGTATAGTAAGTCATAAAAACGTTATAGTATACTAAGGAAAAAAATGTCAAAAAAACGACATAGTATAGTAAGGCAAAAAATGTCATATTATAGTAAGGCATAAAAAGTCATAAAAATGACATAGCATAGTAAGGCACAAAAAATCATAAAAATGACATAGTATAGTAAGGCCTAAAATGTCAAAAAACGACATAGTATAGTAAGTCATAAAAAGTCAAAAAAACGACATAGTATAGTAAGGCATAAAGAGTCATATTACAATAAGGCATAAAAAATCCTAAAAACGTCATAGTATAGTAAGTCATAAAAACGTCATAAAAACGTCATAGTATAGTAAGGCAAAAAATGTCAAAAAAATGACATAATATAGAAGGCATAAAATGTCAAAAAAACATCATAGTATAGTAAGGCCTAAAATGTCAAAAAACGTCATAGTATAGTAAGTCATAAAAACGTCATAGTATAATCAGGCATAAAAAGTCATAAAAATGACATAGTATAGTAAGGCATAAAACATCATAAAAACGACATAGTATAGCAAGGCAAAAATGTAAAAAAAAAAGTCATAGTATAGTAAGGCATAAAAAGTCATAAAAACGTCATAGTATAGTAAGGCAAAAAATGTAAAAAAAACGACAGAGTTGAGTAAGGCATAAAAAGTCATAGTATAGTAAGGCAAAAAATGTCAAAAAAACGACAGAGTAGAGTAAGGCATAAAAAGTCATATTACAGTAAAGCATAAAATGTCAAAAAAACATCGTATAGTAAGTCAAAAAAACTTCATAGTATAGTAAGGCATAAAAAGTCATAGTACATTAAGTCATAAAAACATCATAGTATAGTAAGGTATAAAAAGTCATAGTATAGTAAGTCATAAAAACAACATAGTATAGTAAGGCATAAAAAGTCATAAAAAAGTAATATTATAGCATGGCATAAAAACGACATAGTATACTAAGGCATACAAAGTCATAAAAAAAGTCATAGTATAGTAAAGGATAAATTGTCATTGTATACCTCACTATAGTATGACTCACATACAATGATAGTAGTTTCCTTCAGACATGCTGTTCTGCATTAAGGGCTGCACAACAGTCTGCCATTTCCACCAATGAGCAACACAACCATTATCAAGGAGATCAACTAAAGATCTGCTCTGGAAGAGCACAGCTAAGGTTTGTTTTGACTGAGTGATAATAAAGTGATGATGAAGTGTTCCCTGAGGAATCCCACATACAACAAATCCCTGTTTCACCTATAAACACACAAATGGCTGCTGTGTTCATGCCTAATTCTTTTCATCCAATAATGTGAATAAGTGAGTGTGTGAGTACACGTTCATGTGGTCTGTGACTTCTGAATGAATATGACTGGAAGGAAATTACGACTGAAAGCTACTTCCCTTTTAAACTGTAAATTATGAAACAGATTAAGTGAAGATAGCGTCACTCAAAAAGCTCATTTCTGTTTTTCCCTCCATGCTGTGGATCAGTCTGCAGTGGGGAATTAGGTCATCAGCTCATGTGAGCTCTGTCACACATCTGGTTTGGTGTATCTGCAGAAGTCAGTGGAGCAGGCCCTCCAGCTTAGTAATCACACTGGGAGACCGGGGCTTCTCAGAGTCTGACACAGTCCGCCCACCCCCAGACAAAATCGAAACAACTGTTTTGGACGCTCTGGGGGATATAAACAGGAAGTAAAATGCTGCTGTGGATTCAGTTAGTTACACTGGGGGTTGCAACTTCTACTTTTTGACTAATTGTTCTCATTAAAAGTTGCTTAATTAGCTGTCAGCAGTTTCTTTCTGCAGTGTACCTATAGTCGTACAGACAGACTGGTACTGAAGAAAACTGAAAAATGTGAGTTCTGCAGTTACATAGTTTTTTCTGTTATTTCTTTGCTGGTTTATGAATATTTACATGACTGCATCAGAAGTCACAGTCTGTCTTACAGTCATAACTTGTCATGCAAAGCGTTAAATAAAGTTCTGTGGACGTCCGTTCAGCAGGAGTTTGGAATTACTGACCCATCAGAGTGAGTCACCATCAGTCAAATAGAAAGAATATTACAAAATATTAAGAATAAAAACACTTTGACTCTCAATATTTTATAAAATAAATCTTTTATTTTATCAAAAGTTGATCATGACAGCAATAAGATCATAACAATAATATATAATGCACAGAAATGGAATAAACAGCAACAGAGTATATGAAAAACTAGTGCAAAAAAATCACAAATACAAAAATATATTGCACTTGGTACTTTGATAGTTTTAGGTGGAAGAAATCGTGTTTGAACAACATTCTCAATTTGATATATTCATCTGTAAACATTTATGTTTTACACATTGCCATTCTTTTTGCGAGCACAAAGCTTCTTTAACGTCTGGAAAAATCTACAGCGAGAGAAGCTTCAGTTCAGAGCAGAAACCAACAGGCTACTTGTGGTACTTTATCTCGGTTGGTCGGAGTTGTGCTTTTCTCTAGACCCTGTCTGGGTTTTTAACCTGGTCATTTAAACCAACAATCACACACTTTCTCTCTCTCTCTCTCTCTCTGTCTCTCTCACACACACACACTCACACATTCAGACACAATTTGAGCTTTATTTTAAGTGCTCGAGGTGGTGTCATTTTTGTGACACATTTCTGCAACTAATCACTAGTAACATCATCTGTCTTATTTTTTAATCTCTCACTGAGTTTCAGCTTTGTTCACACAAAGAGATTTTTTTTTTCCACCTGAAGTCTGGTTAGTGACGCTGACACCTTCAGGCCACAGTCACGAGGTCAAGCTATCGTCTTACTGACGACAGCTTTCGTCCTCCTCGATGTGCCATTTAGATTAAAGAGTATAACATTGTTTAGATCTGTAGCATATAGGCCTGCGGGAAACTGCAGTATATAAAACCACAGGTAGAAAAACAGTAAGTACGGTATGTGCAAAATTCACTGTGAGGCAGGAGGAGGCGTCTTCTGACCGTCAGACAGTGGCGTCAGAACTTTTTTTTTTCTTTTTTTTTTTCTTTTTTTTTGCCTCGTCTTGAGCACAGGATATGGAAGATCCAGCATGGCTCAAAATCCCTGGTCCATATGTCAATGGTCACCTAATACTCTCTCAGCTGACGCTCCCAGGTCACGGAGGGTCTGGCCTTATCTATGGTGATACATAATCTGGTGAGAAGCTGGCCATGTGGGCCCGGGAGCTGAGGGTGACGACGGCGTCTTGTTTTTTTTGCAGCAGCCCTCTGGGGGCTCTCCTCAGCGGGACGGACACGTGTCGGGTCTCCTGACATCCGTGGTGCCACACACCTCCACGGGGTCGGGGTAAGGGTCGACCTGGGGTGGGGGGGTGACAGAGAGAGAGCTGCATGTTTACAGGCTGCTGATGGAAAATAAAAACAAAGTCTGAGTCATGAGTGATATTAATATGAACTCAGTATCTTAAGGTTAAACAGATGTAGCAGAAACCTGGTTAACTCCAGTGACATTTATTAAACCATTTTCTAATCATTTAACTGTTCAACCATTAACTGAGTTAACTATTGACTGTTAATCCATTACTTAAATTAACAATTTAACTGATAATCCATCACTTTTAGTTACTACTTTTAATGAGATTTTTAATCTGCTGTATATTTGTTTACATTTGGGTGAATTGGCACTAAATGTAGCTGAATGAGCACTTCCTGTTTGCTGTGTACTCATGGATGTACAGTCACTGTATTACTGTGATACTGATGGAAACTTTAAAATGTGATAAGAAGCCTCTTTTTTTCTGTGATTTCTCAGCAGCTTTCTGGTGGTTTGTTGTAGATGATCAGAGATTATGATATCCTTGGGAAGTGTTTCATGTCTGTGTTTACATTTGAGTTACGACTCTGAGGAGTATTTCTGACTCTAATTCACCTCTTCCAGTTTCTTTGTGGGGCTTTAGTCGTCTTATTGTGTTTGTACTTAGTTTTGTTTTTATGTCGCCCTCTTGGTCAAATCTCTCTTGACTTTCTGCATGACTTTAATCTCATCTGAAGTGTGTGTGTGTGTGTGTATGTATGTGTGTGTGTGTGTGTGTGTGTGTGTGTACCTCAGAGTAGAGTGGCGGGGGAAGATATCTGAACTCTGTGATATACGTTAGCAGGTCCTCTCCCTCCTCGTCAGACCTATCACAGCCCTGCAGACAATCCCGCCTGTGAGACTCTGATATTGCCAGATCGCTGTAGCTCGGTGGCGCTGCAATGAAAAAAAAAAAAGAAGGAAAAAAAACAACTGTCAGAGATCTTTGCTTTTTATCTGCACATGAAAAAAAAAACCCAAAACACTCAACAGGCATGTGCCCGTGTTTACTGTTCGTACCCTCAGGTCTCCCAGACAGGCCGAGCCAGCTCAAAGTGCTGCAGTTGCTGCTGATGCTGGAGGTGCGGGTGGTGCTGGCATGGAGAGGTATGGTCCCGATCACCAACGGCAACGAGACAGACAAGTTCAATCCGCCAGGAACGTCAACATACACCTGCAGGCGGAGAGGGAGCAAGTGGAAAACACAGAAGAAGAAAGAAGATTTTTGTCAGAGGAGCCAGTTGTACCTGTTCATATCAGAGATATCCAGCCCCTCAGGTGACACGTGTACACATGTACCTGAGCAGCTTCATGTCACCTGTCATCTGTAGGTATGAAGAACACTGTTGCTGCGTGCTCTCTCATTATATTATCTGCCTACTTTTTAATAATAATAATAATAACAACAATAATATCACACCTGCCTAATCATGTTTTTCTGTTTATTAATGTTTCATTATTTACTTTAAAGGAAGTTAAGGTAGAAAACAAAGATGACTGAAACCTTCCACGTCTTGCCAGTAGATTATTATTCTATGTGGCAAATTCACTGGCATTAGCACATTATTAGTGACTTTTATATTAGTTTTTGGTGAGTAATTAACAAGTCATTTGTAGTTTTTAGTGCATTATTAACAGATTATTTGTATGTTATAAGCAGGTTGTTAGAAGCTTTTAGTGTGTTATTAACAGGCTATTAATATCCAGGTAATAAGAATTATAATGGCAGGTTCTTAGTAAGTTATTAGTAAATTATTCAATTATTAGTGAATTATAAATAGTTTACTTTTAGTACTTTTAATGTGTTATTAACAGGCTATTAGTGTCCAGGTTATTAGTAGTTTATACTATGTTACTAGCGGGTTATAAGTATTATATTTGCAGGTTATTACTAAGTTATTAGCAGGATATTATAAAGGTTATAAATAATGTGTTATTGGCAAATTATTAGGGAGTTATAAATAGTTTATGTGTGTATTATTAGTTAGGTGGGTGAGTAGTAAGTGTATGTTAATGACAATAGAGTTTTAAGTATAAAATATTAAGTCAGTAAAACCTATTCTTTGCTGGACGCCCTCCATCATCATCATCACCCTCATGTTTGAAGAAGAAACATGGCCGACTCACCACGAGGGCGTACTCCACCCTGATGATGGGGCAGTCCAGGATGGAGGGGGACACCGGAGGTATTTTGAGCAGCTTTCCCTCCCAGCTCTGGCTCTTCCCCTGTGGCAGGGGGTCTCCTCGCAGGTTGGAGACCAGCTGCTGGATCTGCTTGCCCTTGCCTTTGGCGAAGAAGGTCTGGGTCTGGTACAGCGCAGCCTTGGGCACCACGACCCGGGACGAGCAGTTCTCCACCTCGGCGAAGATTTGGATGGACTCGCCTTGGAGACAAGAGAAGAGATCAGTCTGTCAGACTGAGAGAGAAGTGACATGAGTGAAATCTCAAAGGCAAAGGAGAGGAAGGAGAGCAGGAGGAATGAGGGGGAGGTCTCTTCACTCACCTGGTGTGTAGCCCTTTCTCTCGATCTTGGTACTGAGGGAGATCGGGCCTGAGGCACAGAACCAGCAGCACAGGGTCTTCTCCTTCGTACCAGCCTGAGAGGCCTGTTACGATAATATCATCTGCTTTAACTGGAGCTAAGACATTCACAGCATCACATCCATCAGCTGAGCAGTAAATATGTAGCTGGTAGAGGGAGTCAACAGCCAGTTAGCTTAGCTTAGCATAAAAACTGGAAACAGGGGGAAACAGCTAGCCTGACTCTGAAGGTAATAAGAGCTATCAATAAACTTTATTGATACAGCTGATTCTCAGGGTTACACTACAGAGGTTTACACTGCATTTCTGTTTTTGTTATGCCAACATTATTATGGAAAACACAATCACCAGACTGAAGAGAATTTGTTATTTGCTCAATTTAATTTAATGACACATTGACACATGAATCTGCTTAGATGACTGGTCATATATATATCTATATATATATATATACATAGATATATATATATACTGGATAGTATACCCCTCATTTAGTTCCTGTGGGTATTAGTCTGAGGAAGACCTGTAGTTGGCTGAAATGTCACTAACAAAATTAATGGGAGCTGTAAATCAAGTGTGTGGGCGCTGCTTGTGTTACAGGTGGATTTTATTACCTCTGGGCAGAGCCAGGCTAGCTGTTCTGCCCCGTCTCCACTCTTTATGCTAAGCTAAGCTAACCAGCTGCTGTGCCGTGGCTTCGTATTTGCCATAAGGTCATGAGAGTGGTATCAGTCTTCTCGTCTAACTCTTCGCCAGAAAGCAAATATTTTTCCAAAATGTCAAACTATTCCTCTACGGTAGCAGCAGCGTGTGCAGTGTGCGCCTACCAGCAGCAGTGGTGTGTTGATGTCGATGTGTTCAAACACAATGAACTCTTTCTTCGCTTTGACTGGGCGAAGCCATGGACGGTGCAGTTCAGCTTTCACCCAGTACCTCACGCTGCCGTGCTTCCCCTCGAAGGACGTGGCCAGCGCCCTGATAGGGCAGTTGGAAAGACAGTGTTAGGAAGTTAGGAAGTTGGCTGGTCTGTGGTTATGTACTGTGGATACACACAGTGTGTGTGTGTGTGTGTGTGTGTGTGTGTGTGTGTGTGTGTGTGTGTGTGTGTGTGTGTGTGTGTGTGTGTGGGGTGGGGGAAGTAGGACTCAGATCTTCCTCCACTACAAAAGAAGTCCTGCATTCAAATTGAGATTCATGTATTTACAGTATCTCACAGTAAAAGTACTTAAGTACTAAAGTACCTCCTGTGATTGGTCTCTGACATCATCAGATCATTGATCCTGAGTCATCAATAGGTAATTTAATCCAGAGGTTCCCAACCTAGGGGTCAGGCCCCTTCACAGGGTCACCTGATAATTTGAGGGGTCGTCACATGACTCATGGAAGAGGAAAGAAGAAACAAAGTTCTTCTCTACAAATATTTATAGTTTTAGAACTTTCCTCTGTTTCTTTTAACATTTAATAATTAAAAAAATCTCTAAACTGTAGTTAATTACTGCACTAGGGTGAATTTAGTCACTACTCACATCTGAGGCAGGTTGAAGCTGAAAGCAAACTCGTGTACGCCGGCGTGCAGAACCGTCAGACCTTCCTCTGGACAGTCCTCGTCTGAAACACAAAGAGCAGGTCTCTGAATACACCTGTGCCCTGCACCGACCCCACACCCTGCTCTGCTAACACACAATGTCACACAGCTTCATTACACAATGGACTCCTCTTATCACCGAGAGGCATGTGAGGGGAGAATGAAAAGTGCAGTGAGCACACAAACATTTCATTTTAACAGGAGAGGACGATGGAAAATTAAATTGCAATTATTATTAGTCAACCGATGGTAAAATGTCATGAAATGCAGCTGTTAAAATTGTCAGAAAAGTTAAAAACAAACTTTAAATTAAACTTTTACATGATGTAGAGCTGAAACCATTAATCCCAAACTATTTTGACATCAGTTGATCATTTTTCAGCCATTTCACAGGCAAAAATACAAAAAAAAGCCTCTCAAACTTTAAGATTTGATGTTTTTCTCTTTTTAATATCACATTAAACTTTAGGCAAAATTAGACATTTGACAACAACAGCTTCGTTTTTGAGAATATTTTCACAATTTTCTGTCATTTTAAAGATGATTTATTGAGAAAATAATCACCAGATTAAATGTTAGTTGCAGATTCACACAAAAGACACATTGCTTAAACATAAAGAAGTGTTCAGGCACCGACTGAAATGTTCCTGCGGCTCTGAAACTGAGTGTTCACTCATAGTCTTTTCATAATATTGAAGTCAGGACTGTATTTATTTTGGTGTCCCAGTGTGCACGGTTTCACACTCGTAAAAAAACCCACAACATTTAATCCAACAACAAAACAAATACAAACATATTTTACATCAGAAATGTCAAACAACTGATTCAAGAGTCTGAGGAACAAAGAGGTTTTTTATCCTGTTCAGTCTCTGAATCTTCTGTTTGAAGAAAACATCAGACGGCTCTGATGTGAGACATTTAGATTTTGCAGTTTGAAAATGTGACTCGAGCGTTTGACCCACAATCTTCCACATTCACTTAAAGTCTGCTGAAGTTCAGATAAAAAACTGAGTATACAGAGTGTTGCAGGGCGTAGTAAAGAGAGAAAGAACATGACCTCTGTTCACTTCCTCATTTCTTCTGTTATTGTTTGTATTTTAAATGTCTCCACTCAACCCTGCTGAACTTCAGCTTCCTGCCACCTCAGCACTCGCTCCATTTCACCCTGCATCTCTCTGTCTGTGTCTGTCTGTGTGTGTGTGTGTGTTCGTATGTGTTTGGCGTGAGAGCTGTCATAAACAGCCTGCTTGCATGTGTGTGTGTGTGTGTGTGTATATGTGTGTATGTGTGTGCGTGCATGTGTGAGCGTGCGCCCCCGTCAAGTCACCGGCAACACAGAGCAAGCAGGAGTAGACCGGTATGAACCAGACTGAGCAGCTTCCTTCAGCTGGAAACTCCAACGCATGCATCACAACTCGGCCTCCCATTGGAGGAGAACGTGACATGAATTTACAGGCCGCTCTCTGATTGGTGCAGCCTTGACAAGCCCCTGCCCACATTAGTACAGCCATGTGGTGTGTGGCATGAGAGGGGGGAAGAAGGGAGGGGGGCAGAGAGAGGAAGGGTGTTGTACACCATCAGTGAACTCCAGGTAAAGCTCTCACGCACAGACTTGAATGACATAAATGAAGACAGGGAAAAGATCATGTGACACGTTCAGATCTTTTTCTTCCAGTAAAACCAGCTCCAGTCCAAACTCATCCTCATCCTCATCATCATCATCATCATCATCAGTAGAGTTCCATCCTTTTTTCCTTCTTGTTTAAAACAGTGAGGTCAGTGTTAAAGCTTTGCCCTTCAGCTTGGAAACAGCAAGACAAGATCCATTTAGGAGCCATTTCTGGAGCTTTCGATCAGATCTCATGATCTTTCTCAGCAGATGAGATTAAATGGGAATTAAAAACGTGTTTTATTCGTGTTGTCTTAAAATAAAACTTCAAGAACGAACTTTCAATCACTACTTTTAGGTTAAGTACAGTTGAAACTAATATTTTTCTTAATTAATTCATCTTTCAAGTCGTTTTTTCAAGCAAAAACATTATTTAAACATTATTAAATATCCTCTGTCTCTGAGGTTTTACTGCTATGTGACAGTACACTGAGAATTTTTTGGTTTTGAACTGATGGTCAGACTAAACAAAACATTTAAACATGTCGTTTCACAAGTGTGAAAGGTTTTTTTTTCTTTTTTTTTAAAAACTATTTTCAAACATTTTATTGAGTAAACGATGAAATTGATAATAAAATCATTATTATATGTTGCCCTAAGTTGAAATGTATAGACTGACTTAAATTAGGGATCATACAGAATATTATACACTGTCATCTTTGTTATTAAATGACCTCAAAACTAGTTTGACATGTCTCTTTGTTACTTTATGGGTCTGTGTCTAATGAACTCCTTATAAAGTATTTACAAATTTGAACATCTACAATTCTATGACAACTGTGCAAACTCCATCTGCTAAGGAAGATCATGTGATCTGATTGAAAGCTCCAGAAACAGGTGAACACGGACACGACACCGTTTCATCAAGTCAGAAGATTAAACAAACTCTTCCCTGAAAGTGAAGCAGCCGTATTCATCAGTCCTGATGTCAGAAAAGAAACAGCAGTATTTTTCCACATCATTTTATTTCATCTTGACCTTTGACCCCGAATCTATCCCTGAATAAACACGGGAAAAAAACGGGATGTATGGAACAGAGTCCTTCACAGAAACAAGTAGTTGTTCTTGACGTTTGTTGCTTCATGAGGATGATGATGATGTTTTGAAATAATTCATCTTGCACTAATGTGTTTCAGTTTCAAATAATTCAAATTCTACTGAACATAAACAGCTTGTGGTTGAGTCTCGTGAGGACGATAATGTGGGTGAGAGTCTGACCCACATACTAACACCGGTGAGGAACTGATGTAGGAGATCCTGCATGAAGCTTTTATTTACATGTTTCCAACAAACTGTCCTTTCGCTTATTTGCATCATGTACAACAGCACAGCACTCATGTAGGAAGTGTTAGGAGGCTTAACCAGCAGCTGAGATGTTATTCCACACACACACACACACACACACACACACACACACACACACACACACACACACACACACACACACACACACACACACACACACACACACACAGAGAGAGAGTCAGTCTGGTCCTGCCTCTCCTCCCTCCCTCCCTCTCTGGCAGTTTCTGAACAGGTTTGAACCGCTTCTAACAAAGGGAGTTGCCTGAGCTGGCCCTACTTCAGGATGTTATCTGTAAAAATGTTCACTCTCTATTTGGTTTCTGCGTAAATGTTGCGACAAACATGAAAACACCATGGCTGCTTTCGATTTCTGTATCGATTTCTTCTTTTACGCGAAGTGTTGCATTCATGGGTCGCAACTTTTTTTCTTTTTTCCAGAGGCAAACTGTCAAATGTCAGAATGCAGACTGAGACTGTGTCCACAGCAGCGTCTGTTTCAACCCCCCATTACTGTTGTTATTTAGCGCTTATGAAACGGTTCGGTTTAATTAATAATTCATGCGCTGATTTGGAGAGAGGGGAGAAGCCCTGTATCGCATCAGCTGTTGCATCAGCACCACTGTCACTGATGGACTGGGAGATTTGGGGGCTCTGCGGTTTGACACAGGGCTGCACCCTCCGCGTTCACAAAGTTTCCCATCACATAAAGCAGCTCCCCGTGAAAAGTTTGCGCGATCAGCTGACCAACATCACTCCGTACACTGCGACAACAACAGCAGCTATGTGACAGTTGAGAGTGAACTAACTCCTTACCTCTCTCCTCTCCAATCAAGGTGTCGTAATGGTGCAGGTATTCCACCTCCTCAGTGTAGTTCTGAGTGTACGCCGTGTTGGCTCCCGTGTTCCTGGACTCCGTCCACCGGACCTTGGCGACTCCTCTCGCGGCAATGTCCAGACTTTTCACCCGCACATCCCCGGTAACCTCCACGACTACCCTGCCTGACACCAGCTCCCCGCCGGAGAACACCGGCAGGTTGCTCTCATTCAAGCTGTCAAAGTAGATCGCCAATGCCCTCACTTTGGCCAGTACCATGATGGCAATGAAATGATGAGAAAAAAAAAACAAGGAAAGAAAACAAATAGAGTCTATGGAGGAGATGTTGTGAGTAGAGCCTTGTGGCACAAACTCATGCGCCTAGCTCCGGGTGCCCAGCACAGAGCCGGGTCTGCGGCTATGTCTGATGGTTCATCTGGTAGAGACGCACAGCTGATGGTCGGCTCTCAGCTCTCCGCTCAGCTCTCCTCCTGCTGTGCCTGCCCTGCGCGTCTCTCCGCTCTCTCCGCTGCTGTCTGCCTCCAGCCGCCGCGGCCGCGCTCTTAAAAGCTTCTGTGCGCAAAAAAGGAACGTCACTGAGCATGTGCGCGCAGACCGGCCGGCCTGCTCACACACGAGTGAGCTCGAGTACAGCCTATAGCTCCGGCAAGTAACCTGAAAAACACACACACAGACAGGGGATATGTCTCCACTTGCCCTCAGTCATAACTCTTATGAAAGGAAAGAGGTAAATGTGCAGAATAAAAAGTTTCTGGAAAATAACTTCTTAATTGTTCAGTTGACACACTTTAACCGCCTTGTTTAGCACATATTAGTGGTAAATAAACATTAAATAAAATACCCTATAATGTGCATAAACAATACTTGAGTTGAGTTGCTACTACAATGACATGTTTGTTTTTATTTAGGGTTATAAAAAAATTAGGTTGTGCTTGACTAAACCAATGAATCTGCACAAATCATTTTTATGTTCCATTAAAATGACATTACATTATTTACAACTTGTGAGAGTCTTGCCTATAAGCAGTTAATCAATTAGTCAACCCACACAAAAATATAAGTTAATTTTCATAGAAAGATTGAAATGGTTCAATGCTCATAAAAGTGAGAATTTTACTTGTAACTGTTTTCTAATGTTTTGTAAACCAAACCTAAAAACTGTTAAAATACAAAGGCTTTTGTCTGCTGCTTTTCCAAAGCATTGTATGCTAGCCGCTACATTGAATACCTAAATCATTTTTTTTAAAAAAAAAAGGCATCAAATCATGGAAATAATGTAATTTATGTTACTCGGCTAAATCCTTCACACATAAAATGGCGGACTATGATACACAGATTACAGTTTAATTTTAAAGTAGTACAAAATGTCCCAAATATAAAGACAGTCCGCCGAGCAACTTTGTACTTTAATGACAGCTAACGTCATTAGTTAGCATGCTAACGTCTATAGTTAGCTAGCTAACTAACGTCTTTAGCCAACGTATTTAGTTAGCTAGCTAACTAACGTCTTTAGCTAGCTAGCTATTATGATTTCACGTTTAACATTTATTTTAACAAGTGGAACGTTATTTGCATCGACGCTAAGTGTTTACGTTTCCCATGACCGCAGTTTCATCCATAATCGAAACCAAAGTCAAGTTTTAAAAATATTAAGTTGTAACATCTTTAGCTAGCTGTTACTCTGTGCCATTTAGTTTTGTTTTCGTCTCCCTTGAAACCGATGCGCGTGCGGCACTCGCCAAACACAGCAGTTTAAATTGAATTGAAAGTTTCTGAAAAAACAAAAAACGCTAAGAACTTGATGTAAAACATCTTCTTCTCTTGCTTCGTTGTCTTTTTCTCGGCTTTCGTTTATCTGCTCCAGTGTCGAGCTGTGCCCAGTTACAGTTGTCTAAATCAGTCACACATTGACCTTATCGTTACCTCACCTGTGACCTGTGACCTCTGACCTGTAAGAAGTTCACAAACTTAATAGCGCCCTTTATCGACCGGTTTCCGTCAGAAGTCAGAATTAAAAAAAAAAAAAAAAAAAAAAGTTTCACAAGTGGCCCTAATCCTAAATTTTACAACTACAAACGACAATAATACATTGGTCACGTTTTCTTAAAACAACCAAAGCTTTTCTGAGAGAAAAAAACATGTGGACATTATGTTTTTGTTATTTAACCGTGCACTTAAATAAACTTTATTCAATGAAAAAAACTGTACAATTTTAAAAACAGTTCATTAAGTATATTTTTTAACATATTGAGTGGAAAATTGAATTAAGAAAAACGTTGTTATAAAGATGTGATTTTTTTTCTTAAAAGTTGCTGTCACTTAATTTTCTCTAAACTAATTATTTCAGCTCTGAAGCTCTGGTTGGTTTCTGAGTGTCTGGAGAAATAAATAAACTGTCTTGTGTATAATAAAAGAAGTAGGTCCGTGATTTTATGAAAATGAATTTGAGAATTAAATTAGAAAAAGTCACAAGATTAAGAGAGAGAAAGTGGGTACAACGTGTATTTAGCTCCAGTGAAAACATCTCCACTAATAAGAATAATGATAAAGTCTTGCTTAACTTCACTTTTATGTGATAATATCAAACACAGAGAGCCACATGGATCTGTGTAGAAATATATTTTCTCAGATAAATGCTACACAGTTGTTACAGCTGGTCCTTCATTACAATCGCAGTAATTATTCAGCAGCAGCAAACAGCCATGGTAAACAGATAATGTGCAAATTGACAGAAGAATGATTTGGTGGAGAGTAAACACCTGACAAAGCCTCTTCACTCTTTACCTGGAGCTCAGGTGGATCCGCACAAGCAACAGACGTATTAGACAAACTTCACATTCAGTATCCATAAATGCACTTGCATATAATTTCTGCTCAGTCATGCAAAACATTTGGGACACACACAAATGACAGTGAACACAGACATGCAGGAGATCACATCCCACAACCTTCCACGTGTGAAGTAAACCAATAAAAGAAGAGATGCACTAACTCTGACTGTTCTGTGCACGTGTCACTAATGCTTGGCCCAAAATATAAAAAAAAGCAGGAAATGAGAGAAACTGAAAATAAGACAGTGAATTAGGCAAGAAGCAAATAAAATACAATTAAACTCACGTCTGTATCTAGAAGCCATTTCCTGGAAAAAAAATACAGTCTATGAATGAATATATATTTTATCTTTATGGAAGATTTATAATGCCAAAATAAAAGAAATCAAACAAACAAATACATAAAGTGCAATACATTACAAATTGTTACATGTATTTGTTTTTATGCATGCATTTACTGTATCAGAATTAAATGAAAAACATGTTAAAAGGACAGTCATTTAGCTTTTTGTTTGAAAGTGAAGAAGTATATTAGATAATGGGACATTTCTATGTCCTTGTCAACAATTATAACTTCCTCTGTGAGGACATATATTGAATTGTTGCAACTGCATTTGACCACTATCATTATCGGTTTATACAGCAGATTCCATTTATGTGTCCACAGGAGTCAGAGCTGCAGATGCATTGATAAACATTTAAATCTGCTGTACTCAAATACGCTAAATGCTAAATACGGGGATGTAAAGTGTTGCTAAGATGTAAAAAAAAGTACATATTATAATAATTATTAAATATGTCTTGTATGGGCTATGGTCCCTTTTTTTAAACACATTGTGCTTCGTACGTGCATAGTGATCTGTGTTGGGCAGTGGAGGAAGAACTCAGATCTTTTAAAGTAAAAGTATCAACGCCACAGTGTTGAAATATTAGAAGTAAAAAATTTTAATTAAGTAAAAGTATTACCAAACGTATTATCAGGAAAATACACTTAGAGTACCAAAAGTAAAACTATTCGTTATGCAGAAGACCCATTATTCTATTGGATTATAGTTACTGATGTTTAAAAATCATTATTTATATTCTGTAGAGTGGCTGAATTTCAATTCCCCTAATAAAGCGTCATCTTAACCTATAATAATACATCTTAATTTGTTGTTCATATTTTGTATTATTAATCTGAATCTGCCTCTGAAATGTGCTGTAGTAGAAATATAGTATCATAAAATGAAAGTTATATTCAAGTACAGTTATTGTTGAGATATTTTGCATCATTTGATCTCATAATTGTAAAAAAAAATAAAATAAAAATAATAATATTTAACAAAATGATGTTACAGTTTTTGGTTTAAATCTTCACTTATTTCCGAGACTGAAACTATTTTTTTTAACCACGAAAAGGAAGTTCATAAATGTAACATGCAAAGTTGTAGTGTGTATTTTACCAAATCAGACATGTTTGATATGAGGTGTTGTTTACTGAGTGTCTACGTGTTTATACTGTCATACATGAAAAGACAGTGGCAGTACATGCAGCTCTATAATCAACATCAGACACTGACAATACATCCAATTAAAAATCAAAGATAAATCCTTAAACCAGAGCTGCAACGATTCCATGCAACAGTAGCACACCGTTACACAGGCATGCCCTTTGTAACATACACATGTACATTCGTAACATACATAATCACTACATGTAAGTTCAGGTTTATACTGTGTGTTGTTACAAGAAATAAAAGGGATTAAAAAAAACAGGGACGTCTGTTTTCTCTTTACAAGATTTAGAAAATAAATCGGCGTCTTTTCACAGTAACAAAACAAAACAAACAGAAACATCTCAACCCTTTTCATAATAATCAAAATATACAAGAAATATATAAATAACATAGTTTACATTGTTTACAGTTCAAATGTTTACGGGGGGGGGGGTTCCAGCAGAGAGGAGGACTGATGTTAGAGCGGCTAGCTCGGGTTGGCCCTCTTGCGTTTGTTGGGGCTTTGTCCTGGGTCGACCTTCAGCTCATGATACTGCATCTGCGCACGCACACACACACACACACACACACACACACACGCGCACGCACACAAAAAAATGCAGTTAGCCAGGCAGATGCAAACACAGACAACGCAGACAAACTCTAGTCTCTGACTCAAAACTAGAATTACCGCCTCCTCCACTCAGACTAGTTCAGATAAAATACAAAGCATTTATGTGAAATTTTGTCATAATTGCTGTGTGTGTTTTGGTGGTCAACGTGACCTTGACCTTTGACCTTTAGCCACCAAAATCTAATCAGTTCATCCTTGAGTCCTAGTGAATGTTTGTGCCAATTTTGAAGAAGATCCGTCAAGGTGTTACTGAGATATCATGTCCACGAGAATGAGACAGACGGATGTGCGGACGGACGGACAACCTGAAAACAATATGGCGGCTCTGACTGTCGCCAGCGCGGAGGAATAAATACAGTTTCATCTACAGCCTTTTAAACTGTTATGACCATGTTTCCTTTCAGCAGGATGACGTCACCCACCACTTGAACATCAGAGGGAACTCTGGACAGGAAGTCAAGGAGCTCATTGTTGTCGATCATGTACGGGTCGCGGAGCTTCTTGGTGAATTTATTCACACCTGCAGAAAAAATAAGAAAACACATTTTTGAGTGTGTGTGGATGATTATTCTCTGTATCTGTGAAGGAATGTTGGTGTGAATGGATCCAGGACTCACCCCATGCCAGCACAAGGTATCTGAGAGGTATGAGGTAGAGAAGAAGCGTGGCCAAACATAAGGCAGTGATCGCCAGCCAGCTGAGGAAAGGCACTGTCCAGTTCACGGTGCTGCAGCAGAAGAAGAACAGCACACACAGAGAAAACGTGACATCTCTGTGCCGTATGAAGGGCTAGTTCACAGCTGTGTGCTACGACAGAAGAAGAACATGCGATCCAAACACTCGCTCCATCTTCTAACTACAGTCACCACCTCACAGCTGTATCCCTCCGCCAGCCAGCCGAGTGTCAGGAACTATAATCACAGTCTCTCCATCCTGAGTCACAGCACTGAATAACCAGAGGTGTTTTAGCAGAACATTATGATGTCACAGTGAAGTTGACCTTTGACCTTATGGATATAAAATTTAATCACTTTGTTTTATCTTCATAGACATTTGAGTTAAATTGTGTCATAGTTACTGTGACAGAAGTTATCAAAGCATTCCTGATATATTGTATTCACAAGAATGTGAGCTAATCACGACCTTGACCTTTGACCTTTGACCTTTGCCCAACAAAATGTAAACCAGTTTCATTCTTGAGTCTTAGTGAACATTTGTACTGAATGTGAAGAAGTTCCTTCAAGGTGTTACTGAGATATCGCGTTTACAAGGCACAAACCGTGTTTTGTGAGGTCACCACGACCTTGACCTTTGACCTTTGACATTTGACCACCAAAATGTTATCAGTTCATCCCTCAGTTCTAGTGAATGTTTGTGCCAAATATGAAGAAGATCCGTCGCAGCATTACTGAGATATGGCGTCCACTGTGATACTCACTTCTTTATCCTCTCTCCGTACGACGCCACCTCGTCCAGAGCGTTCTGCACGCTGATGAACACGTCCTGGATGGCGTACAGTTTATCCATGAAGCCCTTGTGCTCCGAGTCCTGGCGGGAACGAGAGGACAGATCAGTGTTTTCTCCACACATGAACACATATACAACACTTATACAACACATGTACATATACAGCTGTTTTATAACAACTCTACCTTGTCGTCTTTATCGTCCTCTTCATCCTCCCATTCAAACATGGCCTCCATCGACTGCAGCAGGAAAAGAAGCAGGAAACATTTTCTTAAATAATCTGGAGGATAAAATACATTTTCTGGAAATATCTGTATACAGTCTATAGTCTTTAGTTTTGCAGGTCTGTGCTGCCCTCTGCTGGACACCGAGGTGCAGCACACCTCTTCACTTAATTCTCTGGACTGTGATTTCATGAATGAATTAATGAAAAACTATTCATCCAGTTATCAAAGACAAAAAGCTAAATAATAATAATTTATTTACAACGCAGTAAATGCCTGTTTCAAAACATATAAATACATACTTGAAAACATTGTGTGATGTATTTCACTTTACTTCTTTGTAAGATTTTTTAAAGGCATTTTGAATCTTCCATATACAACAACCATCTATGAAGGATGAAAAATGACATAAGTATAAATGAATAAATAAATGAATGAACATCAAAATAAATGATTAAATACATAAATAAATGCAAAGACATTTTGGTAATTAAATAAAAGGCTATTTCTGTATTTTTACATTTATTTATTTATGCATCTCTACTCACTGCATAAATCTTGAAATGCATAAATAGATAAATAAATAAATAAATAAAATGTAAATAAATAAATGTAAAAATAAATAAATGTAGAAATGCATAAATAAATAAATAAATAAATGTAAAAATAAACAAATAATGTAAAATGTCATGTAAAAATACAGAAATAGCATTTTTTTATTACCAAAATGTTTTTATTGCGCATTTATTTATGTATTTAATTATTTATTTCGGCATATATTGATTGATTGATTGATTGATTGATTGACTGATTGATTGATTGATTGATTGATATATTTACACTAATGTCATTTTTCATTTGTCATAACCATCGGCCCAAATGAATCAATGCCATCTTGAGTTAAACGTGTTAATGGTATGTACAGATGTATCTGATGTTTTCTTCTCTATCTCTGCTGTGACAACTGTAAATGTAAATTAAACTATGATACAATTAATAAATAAAAAATAAAGAGACAGCACGTTTCTCACCATGTCGGCTGTATCCCTGCTCGAGGAGAAGAAGTAGTTCCAGACCAGCAGCAGCAGCAACGCCAGCGGCAGCATGTAGAGCTCGAAGTTCCACACCACCACCACAAACAGCTGAGAGGAAGGAGGGAAAGTCAACGAGACGTGACAGAGGGCGAACATCATCTCACACTTATGACTTTCTGTTTCCTAATTACAAGAAAAGATCTGATATCAGCATCAGCGTGTTGTCGTACCACGAAGGAGATGATGCTCCTCTGCGCAGACTCCCATTCGAAGCAGCTGTTGATGTACGTCCCGTAGCTGATCAGGACCATGATGCACCTCTTCACGCGGTTGAAATTCTGGTGCAGCAGCTGAAAGACACAAAATGCGACGAGGTGTTTCTGTTATTTTACACTGATAGATGGAGATGTTTTATATTTTTCTTATTGTCAACAACAACAGTGACATGAAGCAGAACCAGGAGAATTTAAACAATAAAAACAAGTTATTACAATACAACCACTTTTTCATTATTACGTCAAGTCACTGCTGTGTAGTTAACGGTCTCTAAATCATCACTAGTTTAGTCTCATCATCATAACATCATAATAAATAATAACACATGTGAACAAACCTGTTTGGAGACCTTTGGTTCCTCCTCGATATATTTCTGTTCTGCAGGAACCACCGTCCTGAGAGCGGCTTTGACCTGCAGAGACAAACACGCTGTCAGAGCAGATCCAATCATCAATCATTTATCATGTCTGCTCATGTGCACTGACGAACACTGTCAGTAAAGGTCAAGTCAAAATCACAGTTTAAGTAAATATACAGAAAAATATATCAAAGTATCAGAAGTAAAAATACTGGTTCAGCAGAAAAATGTCTTTTTATTTTATCTTTTATCTTTAATGTTTTCTGAGGATAGTGTTCTGTATGTTTTTTATGTTTTCTATAAATGGATTTAGAGTTGGGAATTTCCTGGTAAGATTCTTTTTACCAATTTTAATTTACAAATTTAATTTTAATATCTGGAGAGAAAACATGTTGCAGGTCCTTGTGTCTCTTCCTCCAATAGACAGTCCCAGAGAATATGGCAGTGCTTTGTGTTTTGATTTCCACAGTTTACACTTTATTTTCAGTGGCTGGAAACTGAAACACTTGTGTAAATGTACTGTCCGGCCCGATACTCACAGTGTTGTAGATGACGTCCACCTCCAGGTAGATGACTCCTTTGGTCGGACCCGTCAGATCCTTGTTTTTCAACAGGTAGCCTTTCTGCTCGCCGTTACGGATCTGACACAGACGACACAAGGTCGGTGTTTCACACACTTACAGAATAATTGAACACAGTCTGGGAGATTTTTAATCATTGTGAACAAAAACAATCGTGGATCATGAAAGGACATGAATCAAAATGCTTGTGGTAAGTGCAGGTAAAGTCACTTCCTCATGATATGACACAGTTTATTTATTTATAAGACGTTTGAAATGACCTTTAACCCCAGCAGTGGATACTTTAATGTGTCTGTGTAGGATGAACTTCCTGTGATTAACGAACCCGTCTTCACACTCACATGTAATAAGGGGATGGCGACTTTTCCCAGGAAGTCGGCGCTCCTGTCTCTGTCCTCATCAAACACCGTGACCTCCAACACGGAGTGGACGTCCTTCAAGTTACTGCAGAGAAGACACGGACAACACGAAGACGAGATAATGACTCAGACTGATCAGCTGACGTCCGGGAAAAATAGTCTTTGTAAAATCTGTCCTACATTTAAAATCACAGCTGGAGCCCAGCGAAGGAGCCTTAAAGGGCCAGTCCACTGATTTAGTGTCACGCTGTTTTAAAGCTCCATATTTTCTTCTTCTTCTGTGTTTTATTTGAAGTGTTGATCCATCAGAAGATATAAAAACCATCTCAGTGTAGTTTTACATCTCCTCTCTCAGGCTTCTCTCTGGAGCTCTAGTAACAACAGGTCGGTGAGCCAATCAGAAGAGAGGAGGCTCTGAGCCTCTCTTCTGATTGGCTGACTGTTTTCTGAGTGATCCAATAAAAATATAGCAGATTTCAGGTAAAAACACTCAGAGAAACCAAATCCTGCAAGGTTTGGATGGTGGGTCCAGGTGGGCGGGGCTTGGTGACTGCTTTGTTGTGACATCACAAAGTTCCAGAAGTCCTGACGGCTGGTTTTAAGGCTCAGTTTCTGAATACAGGCTGTGTGCATTTCTCTGTGGACTGAGGCTTTGATACTTTCACAGTATTAATATAGAAGCTAGAGCTGATCTATAATCACACTACACATGGACACAGACCTTTACACTGGAGGAGCTTTAAAGTTGAGAGACACAGGTTGATGAATGAACCAAGAATTTGGTCTAAATTCCAATAAACAAATTCAGTTTTTTGAACCTTTTAAAATACACTTATTCTAAAAAGTTTTTATTTTGGGCACACTGTGTTTTAAAAATGTGTTTGTGTAATAACAGGTTAATAAAACGCTGTAACTCACAAGGTGAAGGCTTTGTTCCACTCTGGACTGAGGTTCTTGTAAACAGTGTGTGTCTGTAGTCTGTCGTTGTTCAGCTCCAGCACACAGAAAGGATCGCTCTTACCTGAGGACACAACGGGGTTAATGAGCAGAATACTGAACGCCGTATTCACAGCTGCTGTATGAAATAATAAATAAATCAATGAATATATCTTTAAAAATCAGATTTTTTTTTACCATTTACATCAGCAGCCATGAGTCCCTCTGCTCTCATCACCTTCACCTGCACCATGCCCACGTCTTTTAAATTAGAGAACGACTTCAACACACCCTGGAGGAGGAACGAGTATTTTTCAAATGGATGTTCCACCTGAACTAACCTTTAATTTATTCATTTTATTAATTGGTGCCGCTCACGTATCGTTTGAGTATCTCCCTGCGCTCCTGCGGGTCGTCCAGCGGCGTGACGGACAGGTCGGCGATGGAGACGTGGGCCGAGGCGGTCAGCGTGACCAGCAGCACCAGCACGCCCCGGGACTCCTCCAGCGGCAGCTCCAGGTGATGGGTCTGCTCTTTGGCCAGAGGGGAGAGGTCAAGCTGGCAGCTGGGCGACAAACACAGACACACAGTGATGTCATGAACTACACATTTAATCTGACATGTCGACGTCTGTTTGAACATTTCAAAACTTATTATGTCATAATTTAATTCAGTCTCATCTGTAGAACTAACTGATGAAAAGCAAATATGAAACATCAAGAGACAAGATGAAGAAGATGAGAAAAGTTTTACAGCTTTAATATAGTTCATCAGAGTTGGAGAAGAAGTGATGGAAACCATGCATCATCATTTTAAATGATGATGCATATTAAAAGACGTCTTAAGAGAAAATAATTACAGAAATTTTAACCGATAATTGGAAAATGATAATTTTTACATTTTTTATGTAGAATTTGTATCATGTGGTAAAATACATACAGAAATTTAGCATTTGACAATTTATTTCTTCAATTCTTTACACTACCTGCAATTTAACACACATTTCAGCCAAATAAATAAATAACCTGCTAACACACAATATATATGAACCTTGTGTTTAGAGAACATGGTGAATTTAAAAATCCCCTGCAAAAACACATGAACTCTTTCAGTCCAGTTCAGACTGAGGTGGTGGTGCAGCTTCACCCCCTGGTGGCCGAAATGAGAATTACAAAATAAAACCCTGATAGTGATCATTAGGACTTCCTGTTTGAAAGTGATACAGATCAGTTCAAAGACACAAACAGACGACGTCTCTGTCAGACTGAGGTCGTATTATTATTATTATTAGAGTATTAGAGCCACACTGACGGAAAAAAACCAAAATATTGAGTATTAAGTCAAAATATTACAGAATTAAAGTCGTAATTTTGAGAATAAAATCCTAATATTTCAAGAAAAAAGTTGTAATATTATGAAAATGAAGTGGTAGTTTTAGGTTCTGTTTTGTTTTCGAGGGGATTTTTCAGAAGCTTTAAAATGAGGCACATGGAGCATCCTGTGAAGGTCTTTATGTCTCTAAATGTTGTCACCTATTTCTTGAAATATCATGACTTTATTCTCATAATTTCAGATTATTTACCTCTCACCTGTCTGTGCCTGGGGGCACGTCACCTACAGACTAACATTAGTGGGCGGAGCTCTAACAAAGGAGACCAGCTGACTGACCGTCCGATGAAGTCGTCCCTCCTCCCGGTGTCTCTGTCCCACACTGTGATCTCCAACACTCCTCCTGTCTCCTCATACAGGTGAAGGTCAAACTGCTCCCTCCACTGAGGACTCAGGGTCTTTGGCACAGTCTGACCAACACACACACACACACACACACACACACACACACACACACACACACACACACACACACACACACACAAAGGTTAAATTTTACTTGAAAAAATAATAACAATGATATCACTGCCCACCATCAGAGAGGTCAAAGGTCAGGGGTCAGGGGTCAGAGGTCAGAGGTCAGGGCGGACAAACCTTGCTCCTGTACTTCTGGTGTCCCAGTCTGAACTTGGCGTAGGGGTCACTCAGGCCGTTGGGGTCCATGGGGATCAGGTTCCGACCTTCGATCAGCGCGATGCTGACGATCCCTCGCCACAGCTGCGACTTCCGATGCAGCTCTGAGAGACGTAATGACTGCTGCTGCTGGTCCACACAGACAGACACACACACACACACACACACACACACACACACCAACACACACACACACACACACTGAATTTCTGTCACATGACAGGAAATGAGACGGCGTGCAGGGCCCTGTTCTTCTTACGTCAGTGCGACTTGAATGATTTTATTTCAGATCGTCAGGTTTGGTTTTTGTTTGTTTGTTTACTTGTTTCTTTGGGATTTGGTGACAAAGAAAAAACTAAATATCAAATATGAAATCAATCCTCCAGCTGAGTTTGAAAACGTTAGCTGGATCATTTTAGCCTGATAACATCATGTTAGCCTGGATTGAAGCTTAAAGAACAGAGCCCTGGTTTGAGGCAGTGATGGAGATGACAACAACAACAACAACAACAACAACAACAACAACAACAACAACAACAACAATCTGAATTTAATGAGCTGAAAACAACACGTCAGATCAGATCTATTGCAACACCATTAAAAAAGAACAAAAAAAACCGACGGTCACATGACGCTCCGAAATAAAACACGATAAACGAAACAGCCACAACATGAAGGTGTCTGACTGCACACACACAGACGACCATGATGATGATGATGATGATGATGAGGATGATGGTGATGATGAGGATTTACCTTAGTGGATCGTTTCCAGGACCTCCTCAGCAGCATAGTCTGAACATACATTAAAATACATTATTTCAACTGACTCCTGAAGGGCGGGAAAACACTAGAGCTTCAACTAGAGGCTGCAGAGGGATTCATTTGTAGCCACTAGGGGGAGCTACAGCGCAGGTTCACGTCTTACTACAAGGAGCTGGAACAAGTGATGAAGAGGAGGAGCAGCTCCATGAATAAAGCTTCTGAAAACAGACTGAATATTCATCGTTACGGCCTGTGATCATTAGATTTAATTGGACTCTAATTAATGAAACGAGCTCTCCGTCTTCGTTTTCTCTTTGTTTTTTTTATAATTGACTTCCTCACATCTTTCCTCCTCCTCTCCTCAGTCTCCCTCCATCTCTCTGTGTCTCCTCCTCTGGAGCTGCAGCTCAGACTGAGACTCTCTCTCTCTATGATTCATTATAAACTGAATAAAACATGAAGCAGAGACTCAGTGTCTCGAGGAGATAGAGATCATAAACTGTGATCACAACAGAGCACATTTACATCAAAACAAAAAATACTACTTCATGTTTAAAGCTGCTTTGATCAATATCTTTGATAAAAACATATATTATAAAACATCTAACTTACAAGCCTCCTTACTCCTGAAAGGGGAGGAGCTTGACATTGTAAAAATTAGGCAACGTCTCACAGTTAATGCTGCCAGGACGTTTTTACACTCACACATCTAGTGTTGTTTCACCAGCTGCTCATCATTGCAATTTACTGGAAAAAATATCTAAACATGCTTGTTTTATGAGTAAGGTTGTGTATGGACTCAAGTGGATTCATTAAAGAGGGCGACCACTAGAGGGCGCCGTGAGGTGAACCACGTTTGGACAAAGTAAATGTGTCCTACATGTCCCACCTTTAAGACACATCTCAGACATCTGTGATCACTTTTAACTCAGTCTGCAGCGAAAAGTATTTGTCTTTTAATCTGTGTATTTCATATTTGTAGTAGTTTGTTGTTAATTCTAATGGTTTTTGTTTTATGTTTCCTGCCCACGGATGACGGATGTAAATTAGCATTTTTGCTAAAAATCCGGCTTGTTTACATTGAGTACTTTGCACTGATGTTCATAAACATGCAGTGATCATATCAAATAAACAAATAAATAAATAAGCAACCTGCAGACGAACAAGGTGGAGCATTTAGCAGCTAAAGAAGAGGTGGAGGAGACCAAACACAGAGCTCAAAGTAGATTCATCAGATTCAATTTGTTTTTGTTTTTTTATGTGACCTGTTTAAAATATTCACTACAACTTTAAAAGGACATAATCATGTTAAGAATGGAGGTAGAGCTGGAAAGTGATTAGCCTAGCTTAGCATAAAGACTGGAAGCAGCCTCTAAATCTCTAAATATAACTCCCAAATCGTCATTCCTCCATTTCTGTTTGTGCACAGATTAAACAAACAAGCAGCAGCATGTTCATTTATCAGCTTCAGAGCTGCTGGACCTTTGGATGGAGCCACGCTAACTGTTTCCTCTTGCTCCCTGGCTTTATGCTAAGCTAGGCTAGGAAAATGCTGCAACAAATCATCTTTATTTTAATCATGAGAGCTGCACACAGAAGATCAAACCAAAAGCCAACAACATGAAAAGCAGGAAACGAACTACAACTACACATTGAAGATTAACTGGAACTATATCAATCATACGACTGTGTGCAGAGCAGCCTGATGAATGAGGCTCTGCCCATTAGACGGTAATAAATCTGCTCTCTGGGGAAAAAGCTCCTCAGACTAAGAGGTAAAATGGGAGAGAGTGAGTCAGGAAGTCACTAAGAGGCTAATCACCGCTACACTCACTTTATTCACATACGGCTTCCAGCGATACGTCTTAACCTCCCTCTGCTGCAGGAAACACACCGACACCACAGAGATCATTAACTGCACAATCGTCACAAACACTTTGCTCTTACACAACATGTGTGAACCGTAACTTCTTCTCCTCCACATGTCCGAGCTAAATATTCTTCTTCTTTTTACTCCGTTACAGTTTAACTGGTTACTTTACAAATTAAGATTTTAAATAGAAAACACAAAAAAGATCTTTCAAACACGTTCACGCAGCCCCAGCTCGAACCGGACGTGACCTCACGCAGATTAATGTGCTTCATCAATTCTATTTTTATAAAGTTAAACTTGGAGAGATTTAATATTCACACATTTAATATTTCACAGATCTGGGGGAAAAAAAATGCATTTTCTCATTATAACACTTTAGACATAAGAATAATCTGCAGAAAGATCTAAAATTAAATCAATTTATATCTTTAAAGAATGTGGTGGATGAGACATGCGCTTGTTTTTCTTCAGAGGCCATTGCTGTCGTGTCGTATACGTGGGACTTTATGTTTTATGCTCTATTTTAATCTGTGGTGAGTTTGTGCAGCTGCTATCTTGGTCAAGTTGTTCTTGTAAAAGGTTTTTTTCTATGAGACTTCCTGGTAAAATAAAGTAGAAAAAAATTAAAAAAAACAAAAAAATATAGATGTTGAATGTGATCTGTTTTCAGATCCCTTTATGTTTTGGCCTTGTCCTAAACTGTGCAATCTTTTAATCTCTATCTTCAGCCACACAACTGGAGTCAAATACATAGTTACAGGTTTTCTGACACGTCACACACACGTTCATATTTCCACAAATGGATTTTAAAAATTCAGCAAATTTATTAAAAGGGAAAATTGGAAAAAACCGTGTGACTCAGAAAGAGAGATTGTGTTGTGGGGGAGGGGAGGGGGTGTGACGCGATCATCAGTGCACGTACCGTGGAGTCTCGCCGCTCCTCCACGGGACTGTGTTTAGGCGTCAGGGTGACGGCGAACTCCAGGGAGCCCAGGTCCTGCTCAGGGTGATGAGGGTCCTGCAGCACCAGGGTGACAGGTATCGTCCTGGAAACACACACAGGTGTGAACACAGATCACAGATGAGGAGATCGACAGCACTCTGACATCACGGCGTTCTGTATGGAGCTAAGACGGTTAGCTTAGCTTAGCATAAAGGCTGGAAACAGCGGTGCTTCGGGCTAAATGCTAACATGCTCATAACGACTAATATTTTAAAGATATGATGTTTACTATGTCCATCATTAGTTTAGCATGTTAGCATGTTAGCATTTGATAATAATTAGCACTAATCACAAAGAACATTAGGTCGTTAGCTTTGCAGGTATCTGGTCAGAAACTAGAGCTGCACGATAAGCAAAAACAAATATCGTGATTTCAGTTGGAACAGTTGTTTTTATTCAATTTTCACTGAAAAAAATATTAAAATAATGATGAAGTGATTTTTGTTGGTTCTTGTACCAAACGTTAATGTTTCCTTCACGTCTGGAGAATATGATTTGAAGATCAGAGCGTCTCTGCAGCATCACAACACTGATGGTGCTGACAATGCACAACAATGTGACACATTTTACCTTCATCAAAACAATCGCAGCTCCTGTGATTTGGATATTGATCTTGGCCATATTTTGATTTCTGTTATATTTCGATTAATTGTGCAGCTCTATCAGAGAGTGTTAAAATTTTAATCTGAACCAACACGGTGAACCGACCGGCGAGCACACCCACGTTTGTTTCCACCCCTGAAGCATCAGCTGATTAAACCTGCAGCTGCAGAGCTCCGTACTAAAGACACTGTGTCTCTTTTTGTTTGATCTGTTCACAAGCAGAAGTGTAAAAACAACAGTTGGTGGTTTTACTGGGAGCTACATGCTGGAAGTGTCTCGTCTGAAGTTGCCGAGCTTCGTGTGTGTTCTGTGTCATGTTTTTCACACCTGGTATTAGGTGACCTTCTCCAGTGACTTCCTGCTTCGTATGTAAACAAACAGGTAAGTTTTGTTGTGTTTAGCCAGTCAGACGGACAATGTGTTGACAATGTGTTTCTGTGTGTGTGTGTTAAAGAGGAAGAGAGTGACACGGAGAACTTGAGCCAATTGTTGCTCGACAGTGAAATAAAGTTTTATCCATTTGAAAGAGTAAAATATTTTGGGTTCATTGTGTTGGGTCGAATCAGACTGAGACAGAGGACGTCAGTAGCTAATGAAGTGTGACCCCATGTGGTCCAGACCGCCTCCGAATGTGGTCTGAGTGATCGGATCTCAGACGCGTCCTCAGTGCGACTCGGGTGCGTTCACACCTGGACTTGGAGCTGCCCGCTGGTGATTGGATCACCTGAGGCAGATGTTAATACCAGGTCTGAACAGGGATGCTCCAGAAGTGGTAACATGAGACGGTGGCGGGGCCCGTGACCGTCTTGAGCCGCCACGAAACCATCGGCAGGGTGTCCACAGATCAGCGCATCACCGCCACGCTGCAGCAGAACTGAGTCTGTTTCTGTGACACATTCAGGGACCGATCACAGAAACATCATGGAACTGAAAAAGGGTTGTTTCTGGTTTTGTTTCCAAAGGGGGACATCCAACCTGGTGGGTCACAAAACTGATACCAAACAGTGGCATGAATGTCATTAACGTGACACACTGTACCTCTGCTGCTCCAGAGACTCCAGGTAAAGGTAAGCTGAACCCATGAAGTCGTCCTGAAGACCGAAGTCATAATCAAACACCTGCAGAGGAGCGGGAAAAGAAAACTCCACTGACTCTTCTGTTTGTTAAGAAGAAGAAAAGCAGTGTGTGTGTGTGTGTGTGTGTGTGTGTGTGTGTTTTACCTTTACATACAGAGGTTCACTCAGACTATCTACGATCAGACTGGTCTTCTCGTCCCACACCGGGTTGAGGTTTTTGTGGATGGTTTTGCTCCTGAAAACTTCTTTACCGGCCAGTTTGAACTTGACGTACGGATCACTGCTGCCTGAACACACAAAGTCAAACTGTCACACGTCCATAAAAACAAGAACGGAAAAGACAACGGTATCACTTTACCCTCATGAAGGATTTATAAATGCCTTATAATTTGGTTATTAATTAGAAACACGTTGATGCAGCTCACTATTTGGCAAGATCGAGTTAATGCTTACGACTCATTAATCTGACTGATGAGTTTCTACCATTTATAACTGGTAAAAGGAGCCTGTTAGTAACTGACTGATAAATGTTGATGTGTTTCACACTTTATAATAAGACTCCCTTCGATCAGTTCTAAAAGTCCTACAGAGGAGAACAACCAGCAAAAGAGCATCTCCAGTTTAATATCCACTGTGCAGAACAATCTCATGGCATGAATCATAATATATATAAATTATAATACACACAAACATGTGGAGAAGCAGCTACAAACTCTACAAACAGGCTAATTAATAAACTAGTTATAAACCATTCATTAATCCTCGTTAGGTCTGATTGTAAAGTGGAACCAAGAGAAGTAACCATGGTGACCGTACCTCCTCTGTCCCGTACGGCCAGGTTGTGGCCTCTCTTGAGTTCGACCTCCAGCTTGTACATCCCTGAGCTGGGGGCGGGTCGCTCGGCGGTGACCCCCGAGGAGCAGGGAGCAGAGATGCCCTGTCAGGAAAAAAAAAGACATGATGCTTTAATTGACGAAACAACAACCTGCACTCCGTCACGCCGTCCTCCCTCTCTCGGAGAACTCACCAACATTTAAATAAAAGTGGTTTAAATCCGTTCGCCTCCTCGCCTGCAGCTCAGTCTGACTCGACTGTTTAATTCGGCTCGCTCTCTCGTCCCAGGAGTGAGCGCTGACAGGAAATTACACGAGAGCAGCTTCCTCTCCTCTGTCCACAGTTTTGTCGAGCTGATTTTTTTCTCTCCATTGTAAAACTCTCACCGCCGCTGCAGCAGCAACACTTGCACAAACTGAACACACACACAACAGACACATGTGACCACACACTGATTCTTTACCTGTTCCAGATGTTAGAGATGCTGCTCTGACACCTGCCTCATCAACATCAACCACACCTGGATGCTTTTATACACGCCTGTAACTTCTGCCTCATTTATAACTTTAAAAACCACAGATATCTGACTGAGCAGCACAAGTCTGTTTGACTCAAAACCACAAAGACTCAAAACCACAAAGACACAAGGTTTCTAAAGCTTCTTCTTCTGTGTTTTATTTGAAGTGTTGATCCATCAGAAGATATAAAAACCATCTCAGTGTAGTTTTACATCTCCTCTCTCAGGCTTCTCTCTGGAGCTCTAGTAACAACAGGTCGGTGAGCCAATCAGAAGAGAGGAGGCTCTGAGCCTCTCTTCTGATTGGCTGACTGTTTTCTGAGTGATCCAATAAAAATACAGCAGATTTCAGGTAATCTGAAACAATTAGAAATGGACACAAAACATCTATAAAGAGATGAAAAATGTCCAACAACATCTACACAGTGATGATGAGGAAGGATTGGATAAGACTGGATCACCTGCGTCACATCTGTCAGAGCTTCAGTGTGAGTGTAAACATCTGTGTTGATCACACATCTGTCAGAGAGCAGGAGAAGCGCTCAGCATCCTGTCACACACACACACACACACACACACACACACTTACACTGATCAATACTTCTATACTGTGATAACACAAAGCGGCCTCAGCTCAGTGTGTGTGTGTGTGTGTGTGTGTGTGTGTGTGTGTGTGTGTTACAGCTCAGGCGCCTGGAGATTGATCACCTGAACTCACTTTATCAACAGGTACATTAATGATCATCAGGAATTTTGTTGGACTGATTCTTCAGTTTCTTTTCTGTCTGAAGTTGAAGTCACAATCGTGACAAACCTGTCGAATCAGCTGTTTCCAATACAAATGAACTGTGTTGTGATTCACCTCAATTCTTCGTTGTTTCAGTTCTGATGCTGAATTAAACTTTTCTGAGGTTTTTCTCTACAAATCATTTTTTTCTCCGTGTCAGACGAATTATTTGACATTTAGGGAATTTGTTTATTTACTGAAGCTATTTGTTGAAATGTTGGTTAAACACAGGCAGCTGTTAAATCAATAAATACATAAATAAATAAAACTTTAAAGTTAAAATAAAATAAAAAGTGATCCCTCGAGCCAGACCAGACCCAGATCCATCTGCCAGACCAGACCCAGATCCATCTGCCAGACCAGACCCTCAGACACCGCTGAGTTAATATGTTGTGTTTTATAAGTTTAATGTCACACATTCATCAGAAACTGTAGCTCAGAGCGCCTCCGCCAGTTAACTCTGGATTTAATCCCAGACACATGAAATAATCTACAGAGCACTTTAAAAATACATCATTTTATAAATTCTTCATATTTTATAAAACAAGATTTTAAACCTTCAGAAAACAGAATGTAATTGTTTTAACTGACGACACTGTGTTTTATAATCTTATATGTTTAAAATTTTCCTTGTGTGTTATTTTTATTACAATTTTGTAATTTTATTGTTTGTTATCTAAATTGTATTTAAATTCTTTATCTGTCCATGAATTGTTCTTATGTTTTTTAACGTACGTAATATATTTGTTAATGTACATGTATATTTAATGTATATCTCAATGGGATTCACCTGAACAAATGAAGGTTAAATCACTGTCACATGAACGTAAAAAGTAACAGAACTTGTAAATACTAAAGTATTTATTTATAAAATAAACGGTGACTGAGTAAATCTACTTCCTGACTCTCCGTCTGTAATAACAACAGATTGATTTGTGTTTATGGACCAGAGATGAAACAAACCACCGTCGTCCAGCAGCTGGTTCATGTGTCAAAGCCGTCGTGACATGAGAAAAAGAAATGAAGCAAATAATCGTTAATGATCAGACCGAGGTCGGTTTCTTCCTCTCTCTCCCTCGTCTCACCTCCAATCACCTCCATTCAACGTTTCCCGCTCAAACTGACCACATGCATGAATCTGGTGTAAACACACAGTATCGCCTCTCTCACAGCTCAGCCGAGGCCGTCGAGAAATCGGTTATGATGAAACACACGCTCGCTTCCTGAGGCTTCCTGAGGCGAAGTGTGTTCTGCTCAGGCATTTCACAAGCTGCAGGAAACATGAAGCGAGTGAGACGGTCCCGTGTGAGGAGAGCGGAGGAAGCGTTATGCAGCCTCCGCCCTCAGGTGGAGGCTCTGAGCTGTGGGGTTAGTCCAGTTCAGACAGCGTGATGTTAAATAAGGAGATAACAGGCTGAGGAGGAGAGGATGAGGTGTACCAGGTCAACGTTACATGGCTGAAAACACCTGCATATTATCACCGGAGAAAGCTGCTTTCACTGACGTGTTAGCAAACAGCTGATTATCTAATCATCCAGTAAATCGAGTAAATCGTGTAAAGGTCAGTGTTTCCCGCTCTTTTAGCTCCGTGTTTGGTCTCCACCGACTCCTCGAGGAAACATCTGGTTCTTTACTCTTTCATCATCTGGTCCATTGTTAATGTTAATGTTTTGATTAGTTCGTCTTTAAACGTCCCGTATTGTTTAAAGTGAGATTTTTTTTTTTTATTCCCCCGCGGCGGCGACAGTCACAGCCGCCATTTTGTTTTCAGGTTGTCCATTCGTCCGTCCGCCCGTCCCATTCCCGTGGACACGATATCTCAGCAACGCCGCGACGGAACTTTTTCATATTTGGAAGAAACGTTCACTTGGACTCAAAGGGTGAACTGATTAGATTTTGGTGGCCAAAGGTCAAAGGTCAAAAGTCAAGATCAAGATGACCTCACATGACATGATTTTGACCTTGTGAACACAATATCTCGAGAACTCCTCAAGGGAACTTCCTTCAGATTTGTCACAAATAGTCACCTGGACTCAAGCATGAACTGATTGGATTTTGGTGGCCAAAGGTCAAAGGTCAAGGTCACGGTAACCTAACAAAACGTGGTTTTGGCCGTGTGAACGCGACCGTCCGTTCATCATGCTCAGCTGTTTTACACGTGTCGTCTTATACAGTAAAGTATAGATGCACCACGTTTTAGTCGTTCTGCATTTCGCCAAAGAAAATAAATCCTGACAACAGTCGTGCGAAAGATAAAAGGAGGAAATACGTGACATGAAGTTTCACATTGCCTCTCATCACAACAGTTGAGGTTGATTTTACGGCGGCGTCCTGGCCCAGCAGCAGCGTGTCAGCGGGGGGGGGGGGGGGGGGGGGCAGCCAAAAACAGCCACAAACCACTCGGACCAAAGCTGAGTCAGGGAGTCTCCATCAGAGTGACCAGATCTAACAAGCTGCTTACGGAGGATTAACTGTCGTGCGGCTGTAAATCAGGAAGCAAAGCAGCGAGCTGAGAATAGCTTCAGATCACGTACAATCCCATCACTTATTTTAGGAGTGTGTGTGTGTGTGTGTGTGTGTGCATTTGTTTTTACACACTCTGCGCTCATGCAGCCAAAGCTTTAGTCCTTTTTCAGGCTGCAGCGCTCTGTAACACACACAGTGACACGAGCTCCAACAAATCCAATAGAGTGATACCTCCTCTCTCTAACTGATCACTTTCATGGCATCAATAGCTTAAGATGATCAGTTTTGAACCAGTGTTCGGGTCACGTGGCTCATGAAAGTGGATTTAGTAGCTACAGCTGTTTTTTTCGACGTGTCAGACACATGTTCAATCAACTTTTGGATCAATATAAGTATCAGATCAGATTTGTTGGGACACAGATATTTCACTCAAAACCACAAATGTCAAAATCAGAGTCACCAAAGATTCATCCTCTGGGAACCAGGAATATCTGAGACAGAGCTCATGACAAACTCTGGACTGAAGTCATCACATCGTCATGATAAAACTTAACGACCTAATTCATCCAAAGAGTCTAACAATCATAAAAAGTCCATTTATTTTAATGTAGTTCGAACGAGGGAGACGTTGGATTTTATGAGCCCAGTCTGGGTTGATGCGTCTGCATGGTTTTTATGACATCACAAAGAAGGAGTAGTATCATAAAGGTGGGGGGGGGCGTATCAGACGGATTTATACCTCCAGAACGCTCAATCCTACATTTCCCACATCACAACTCAACAGCACCTTACGTTAGACCCAACCTACCAGGTAAACACCCAGAGGCCATATTCATAACAGATCTTATTTTAGCTCCAGGAGTCTTTGTAAATGAAGAACAAACATTTCATTCACCGTCATCTGTGACAGCGACTCCTGCAAAACATGTCAGAAGCTGGAACCAGCAGATGTTTGTTTCCACTTGAAAAACGACTGATAATCAAAAATTCATTTTCTTCCAAACGACTAATCAATGAATCAACAGGCGCCGTGTCTGTCAGGAGGCACATAAGTGGAGATGGAGGCTGGGGAGACATCAGTGAAACCCATAAGAAGAGCTGAGCACACGCACACATTTATCTCCTTCCTGTCAACAGCAGCGCCCTCCACAACACGATGGTCAAACCTCAAGGGCCCATTAACATCAATACTGCTGCCAATACAGACAGCGCGGATCAATACATTAAATAAAAGCTCCCAGCAGAGTCAGAAAAGCTCACGCACAGAGAATCTGCAAAGGAAGTGAAATCTCACACTTTTTCTCCTGCAAATGAACATGTGAACTGTGGCCGGCTGCAGACGTGACAGTCGCACTGACTTTATAATCATCACAGAGGGTCAATACGAGCTCAAAGGGCCCACAGGAAACACATGTGGTGAACACACCCAGGGGCACCAGAGAGCACCACTCACACAGAGCTGTGGTTTGGACACGGCAGCGCAAACAGAGAGTCCCTGCG